CGACGCGGCGGCTGCGCGGTCCTGCCTGGCGGGGAAGCGTTTGGTCTTCCTCGGCGACTCGACGCTCACGGAGGTCGCGCACGGCCTCGTCATGACGCTGATCGGCGGCGACGCTGCGTGCGCGCCGCGCGCCGCGGCGTGCCTGAGCCGCGACCGCTACCTGGAAACCATGGGTGCTATCAATCACAAGAAGCGCGCGCGCGGCGCCCGCGGTAACCGGGCGCCCCTCGTCCTCACGGGCGAGAACGCGACGCGGCTTCAGGTGACGTTCCCCGGCCCCGGCCCCGCGGGCTGCCAGCCCCGGGGGACGCCGCCGCCCGACGGGCGCCGCTTCTCCGCGGCGCTGGCGACCGCCGGCGGCGCCGTCCGCGTCGACCACCGCTGGATCGGCCACCCGAATTTGTGCGACCCGAAAGGCGGCGTCGGCCTCGCGACCGTCGCGAAGCGCAACCAGCTCAAGGCCGCCGACCTCTTCCTCGACGCGCCGGACGCCGTCGACGCGGTCATCATCGCTTCCGGGCACCACGACCTCCGGCTCGGCCGCTACGACCCCGCGAAGCAGTCCAAGGAGCGCGCGGGCGCGTCGAAGGGCCGCGAGACGACCGCGGCCGAGTACGCGGCGCTCGCGCGCCAGACCTTCGACCGCCTCGGCGCCTGGCGCGTGCCCGCGTCCAAGGTCTTCTGGGTCTCGAACAACCGCCTCGCGCGCTGCAACGACGGGGGGATACTCGGCGCCTACGACGCGGCCGCCGAGGCCGAGGCGGCGCGGCGCGGCGCCACCTTCGTCGACGTCTCGACGCCGCTCGAGCGCCACTTCCCCCAGCCCGCGCTCACGGCCTGCTGCGGCGACGAGGTGGGCATGCACCACGGCTTCATCGCCCGGGGCTCGGACCGGAACAAGTCGCTCGTCGCGTCCGGCCTCGAGGCCCAGCGGCTCCTCGGCGCGCTCTGCGCCGGCGGCGGGGGCGGCGCGGCGGGCGGGGAGGGAGCACCGGGCTCGAGTCGCGCGCTCGAGGCGCCGCTCGCGGCCCGCGCCGACGCCCCGCGGGTCGAGGCGGCCGCGCGCGACGGCCTCGCGCGCGCGGTGCCGCTCGTCGGCTACGACCGCGCCCGATGTTTGGACGGCTCGCCGGGCCGCTACTACGTCGACGTCCACGGCGACAACACCAAGGTACGTCCCCCCCCCGCCCCGCGCGGCCCGTCGGACGGACCCGGTCGCCGGCCCCGCGCAGGTCTACGTGCACCTGCAGGGCGGTGGCTTCTGCGGGTCCCTCGGGGCCTGCGCGAACCGGTCGCGGACGCCCCTCGGCTCGACGCGGCCGGACGTGCCCGGCGCCTGGGGCCCGACGCTGGACCTCGCCGCGGAGCGGCCCTACTTCTCGCGGAACGCGACGCGCAACCCGCTGCTCGCGGACTTCACGCACGTCTTCGTCGTCTACTGCGACGGCGCCTACTTTGCGGGGAACGTCGCGGACCCGGCCCCCGCGCCCGGCGGCGCCGCGCTCTTCTTCCGGGGGCGGGCCATCCTCGACGCCGTCGTCGCGGACCTCGACCTCGCCGGCGCGACGGACGTGATCCTCGGGGGCTGCTCCGCGGGCGGCATCGCGACGTTTTTACACCTGGACGCCGTCGCGGCGTCGCTGCGAGCGATCGCGCCAAACGCGGCCGTCGCGGGCTTCGCGGACAGCGGCTACTACGCCGACGTGCCGTATTACACGTCTCAAAAGAAATTCCCCTTCGAGGCGCAGAACGCGACGGCGGACCCGCGGTGCCTGGCGGACCACGCGGACCGCCCGTGGGCCTGCCTCGTGTCGTCCGTGACCGCGAAATACGTGCGCGCGCCCCTCTTCGCCTGGCAGTCGAAATTCGACGCCGACCAGCTCGCGACGAGCTTCGCGGCGCCCTGCGAGAACGCGTCGTGCGCGGACCCCTACGGCGCGGCGCTCGCGGCGGGTCTGCGGGCGTTCGCGGCACGCGGCGCTGCGGCGGGGGCTTTCGTCGACGCCTGCCACCGCCACTGCGACCGCGTCGACGCGGGCCACGACGTGTGGAATATCTCCGCGCAGGGCACGACGCCCCTCGTCGCGCTCGCGGACTGGTTCTCGGACCCGCGCGGGTTCCTCGTCGAGCAGGCGCCGAACGCGTCCTACCCCTGCGAGTCGTGCTGCTAAATAAATTCGTGGGTTACATGTACGTTTCTTCGGAATTTTGTGCCGGCAGGACTTGGGCTCCTCCCGCGTCGACGTCGTAGGCCGCGCGGAGCGCGGCGCCCTCGCGCCCGCCGAGGACCGCGGGCGCCGCCGCGGACGCGCGCGCGAGCGCGGAAGCGAAGAAGTCGAGGCCGACGACGGCCGTGATGTGCATCTTCGCGAGCGCGTCCACGAGGAGACGACGGTGATGGGCGCGACGGCTAAGAGCTCGTCGAGGCCCGCGGCGTAGTCCGCGGGCGAGAGCGCGAAGGCCGCCGCGGCGACGCCCGCTCCGAGGAGCGCGACAACCCGCGCGGCGCTTGCCATATCGAGGCGCCGCTCGACGTCACCGCCGCCCGCCTCGGCCTCGAGGGGCGCCGCGGCGATGAGCAACGCGGCCTGCGACGCGAGCGCGAGCCAGATCGCCGGGAGAAGCCGCGGCGAGCCGACGAGCTGGTAGATCGCGGCGAGCGGCGCCGCGGCTAACGGAAGGCCGAACAAGGCCACGCACACGAGCAACGAGCCCAGGAGCGGCGCCCCGGGGTAGAGGCGGCACGCTTCCGCGAGCGCCGCGGCGAAGGCGTTGGCGACGGCGAGGCTGGGCGGCGCGAGGAGCCGGAACGCGTGGAGCGCGAGGAGCGTCGAGACGACGAGCTCCGCGGACGTGAGCGCCTGCTCCGCGGCCGTGGCGGCGGCGCCGAGCGCCGCCGCCTCGAGCGCGATGGCCGCGACCTGGGACGCGGCGTCGGCGTTCGCGCAGAGCTCCGCGGGGCAGGTCGCGGGGCACGCGGTCGCCGTCGCGGACGCGCACGCCTCGGCGGCGGCGAGCACGCGCGGGAGCGTCGCCTCGAAGAGCCGCTCGTTCCAGCCCTTGCCGTAGCTCGCGCAGTACCGCTGGGCCGCGAGCGCGCCGTCGCGCGATACGTCCTCGACGTCCCAGGCGTCGTCGAGCGCGCCGAGCTCCGCGCCGTGGTCCAGCACGAAGAGTAAGCCGCGGGCCGCCCTGCTGCCGTCGGCGACGAGGAGCGACAGCGTGTCCTCGCAGAGCTGCTCCTGGAGGTCGCTCCAGCGCACGCTCGCCGCGAGGGGCACGAGCAGCAGCACGAGGAAGGGCGCGCACGTCGCCACGGCCATGCCCCGGCGTGCGAGCCGCGCGGACGCGCCGCCGAGGCCCGCGCCGTGGCGCCGCGCGGAGGCCGCCGCCGCGCCGACGAGCAGCGCGCCGGCGAGGATCGCGCAGCCGGCGACGATAGAGGCGGCGTCGAGGAGGCGCAGCAGTGTCGCCGCGTGGTCCGGCAGGTCCTCGTGGACAGCCGCGAGCGCGCGCGCGTTCGCGCGCCGCGACGGCGCGACGGCCGCGAGCTGCAGGGCGCCCGCGAGGAGCGCGAGCGGGCACGCGGCGGCGAGCGCGTCGGCGCGCCAGGCGCCGAGCGCCGCGGCGCGCGTGTCGCCGCCGTAGCTCGACGGGCCGCCGCCGGAGATCAGCGCGACGGCGCGCCGCCACTTTGTCGTGGTGTGCTCTTTCGTGGGCTGCTTCTCGGGCGCCTCCGCGCCTTTGGCGTGCCCTTCCACGTCGGATGCCTCCGCGCCTTTCATAATTATAATATCATCATGGCTCATGGTTGCGTTTGCATGCGCGAAGACGGGCTGCCATCGAGAAAGTGCGCAATCAAGGGGACTCTATTAAGCCTAGATACAGATCCCCGGGCCCTTGGGCGCGGGCCGAGCTTCACGGTGACTTCAGCATATCTTTCGTTGATGTGGCGATTAGTTGTGTTGGTTCTTTTTTCCCGCCCGGGCGCGGCATTCCTCCATATCTCGCGTACGCGTTGCTGGGCGCTCGCAGCGATTCTTTTGCTCATCGCCACAGCTTGATTGAGGATAATCAGGGAAATTCAAGGAATGCCCAACTGGGAATGCCCTTCACCGCGTCGCACAATGCTCGTGCAATGGAAAGCTAAGATGCGCGGCAAGGCGGGCATGCCACCGAGACGCGTCCTCCTCCTGCTGGCGTGCCTGCCGTCCCCGGCGAGCGGGGGCTGCCCGGCGCCGGGCTGCTGCCCGCCGCGTCCCGCGGCGTGGCGCTACAATTCCACGTTGGCGTCGACCGCGGCCGCCGCGGTCGAGGCCTGGCGCGCGTCGCACCTCTGTTCGGGGCCCTTCGAAGCCGCGACGGACGCATCGCGGACGGAACCGCCGGGCCCGATCGTCGCCGTCGCCGTCGGGGGCGTCGCGCGCGTCGCCGCGTCGTTCCGCGCCGTCGCCGTCGGCGGCGCGAACCGGACGACCGGCGGCGACACCTACGACCTCTCCTTCGCGTCGGGCCCGGAGCGGGCGATGCCGCGGGTCAGGGACCGCTGCGACGGGTCGTACGGCGTCGAGGTCGAGCTCGTCGCGCCGGGATCCTACCGGTGGACGCTGACGCTGCGGTGGGTCCGCAACGCGGGCCTCGACGAGCGCCTCGACGGCCGGCCCCGCAAGTCCCTCAACGCGGCCGTCGGCGAGCTCCGCGTCGACGTCGTGGGAAGCGCGGACGGCGGCGCGAACGCGACGCCGCCGTGCGCCGACTACGACGCGCCGGGCCGCTACGTCGGCGCGCCCCCGGCGCCGGGGCCGCCGGGGTCGCTGAGCGTGAAGCTCGCCCGCGACGGGCCGTCCCGGTACTACAAGGGCCTGGACCCAAAGCGCGCGGGCAACGCCACCTGGGCGCTCAAGTGGCGGCCCGCGGGCTGCACGTACCCGCCCAGCGACGCGCGGCGGCTCCAGGACGCGCTCCGCGGGCGCACGGTCGTCGCCGCGGGCGACTCGACGATCCGGCTCATGTTCATGAACTTCCTCCAGGCGGCGCGCCCGGGCGGCCCTAGTTTCCACGCGTTCGCGCGGTCGCGCGCGTCGCCCGTCCTGACGCGCGCGGACCGTACCGCTCGGACGCGCCGAACTCGCAACGGGACGCGCCGTTCTCTTAGGTGGCGCTCGGCGTGCCGGTCACGCACTGCAACGTCGACCGGTGCCTCTGCCACGGCCTCTTCGAGGTCCGCCTCGACGCGCGGACGTGGCCCTACGGGGACACGGTCCTCGACTGCCACGAGACCGCGCGCGGCTTCGGGGGCGTCGCGCCGCCGTGCGACGACGACGAGATCGTGCTCGTCTTCGTCTTCCACACGCTCCTCGACTGCCGCCTGCTCAAGTACGGCGAGTTCGGGGCCCGCTTCGACCTGGGCGCGTGCCTCAAGTCCAGCGGAGAGGTGCGCGAGGGCAACGAGTTCCTCGGCGCCGTCGTCCCCCGCGCGGACGCGGTGCTCTTCCAGATTGGCTTCCACGTCGTCGGCCGCCTCGGCGTCAAGGGCTGCATCGAGAGCGTCGAGTCCTGGCTCCCCCAGCTCGCCGCGCTCGCCGAGCGCGCGGCGGCCAAATTCGTCATGGCGGCGAACCCGGCGGAGCTCTCGACGAACAAAGAGGAGATCGCCGGGCCGACGACGGCCCGGCCCTACCCGCACGTCCAGACGAACGCGCGCATGGCCGCGTGCAACGCCTACATGCGCGACTTCGCGCGCCGCGGCGGCGGCGCGTGGACCTACCTCGGCGGCCAGTACGAGATGAGCTGGCTCGGCGAGGAGTGGGTCTACTCGCAGCCCCACTACGAGGCCACGCCCATGCTCGACGTCTTCGCGCGCGCGCTCGTCGCGAAGCTCGCGGACGCGCCCCGCCCGTCGCGCGCGCCCGTCGCCGCGCCAACGCCGGCCCCGACGGCGGAGTGCGCCGACGACGCGGCGTGGACCTACGTCGGCAATGACAGGAAGCGCTACACGTGCGCCTGGGTGGCGGACGAGCCGGCCCGGCGGTGCCGGAAGGAACTCAAGGGCGGTGCCGGCCGGACGCCCCTCTCACCCCTCGACGCGTGCCCGGGGTCGTGCGGGACCTGTCCCCCGGGCAACTCCTCCTAGACCGTCGCGGTAGGCAGGTAACCACCTCCAAAGAAAAATCACGCGAGATCGCCGCGGGCCTCCGCCTCCAGCCTCAACAAGCGGGCGCCCGAGGCCCGCGGCGGCGAGCAGCGCCGAGGCTCGCGGTCCGCGCTGCTGGGCCATTGAAGTGCCTCTCAACCCTGATCATGGGCTGGCAAATACTGTTGCTAGTGAGCCTGTGCAAGGTAGATCCAGTAACGACGTTACGACGGCGCGTCGGCGCGCACGCCCGCGAGGACGCCGTCGGCGAAGCGGTCGCCGAGCGCGAGCTTCCGGTTGACGCCGGCCGCCGCGAGCCGCAGCGCGCGGTCCGGCACGAACACGAGGGGACCGATGAGGTCCGCGGACATGGAGTACTCGAAGCTGCCGACGAGCGCCGCGGCGCCGCCGGCGTCGGGCTGGCCCTCGAGGTGGCCGCGGAGCCGGAAGTCCATCGGCACGGGCCGCCGCTTGCCCCGGAGCGTCGCGAAGGCCTCGACGCTCCGCGACGCGAGCGACACGCCGCCGCGCGGCTCGCGCGCGACGTCGACGTCGACGACGCAGTCGACGTGCACCAAGCCGGCGAAGTCGATGGGGTCCTGCGTGAGCGCGAACGCGAGGACGTCGCTGCCGCCGCCGTCGGATGCGCGGATGTGCTCGGCGGGCCAGGCCGCGGCCAGGACGCGCCGCGGGTCCTGCAGCCAGGCCGCGGCGCGCGCCGCGTCGACGCCGTCGTCGAAGGTCTCGCGGATGAGCCACGAGCCGCCGAACTCGACGCGCTTGCCCACGCGCTTGTAATTGGTGGTCAGCTGCGCCGCGTCTACGCGCGCGAGCGCGAGCAGCACCAGGATCACGGGTTTTACACGAGGCATTGCGTCGTTCGGCCGCGGCCGCCGCATCAATGAAACGTCGGCTGCGAAGGGCAACACGAAGATAACACGACACACCATGGCAGTTCACAAAAGTATGGATCGAGGGCTGCGGCGCCTCTTCATCGCGGCGCTCTGCGTCGCGTCGTCGTCGCCGGCGGACGTCGTCGGGTGCGCGGCCGGGGACAAGGCGTACTGCGCGGCGAAGCCGCGGTTTCCGTACCCGGCGACCCAGGAAGAGCTCGACGCGACGCTCGTCGTGCGCGGCGCGGGCTGGGGCAGCATCGCGGCGCGCCTCGCGCCGGACCACGCGTCGCCGCCCGTGCGCGTCGTCGTCATCGGCGGGTCCATGACCTGTCACGCCAACGTGCGCCACGACGACGGCTGGCCCTTCGTGCTCGGCGGGTACATGAAGCGGCGCTACGGCGGTCGCGTCGCCGTCGTCGACAAGTGCGCGGCCGCGACGAGCCTCGCCTGGGCCGTGAACATGGCCTCGAAGATCGTCGAGGGCGGCGTCGACGTGCTCCTCGTCGACTACGTGCAGAACGACGGGCGGCCGACGCTGCTGGACGCGCAGAGCGACGGCACGGACATCGACACGAGGACTCGCATCGGCGCCGAGGCGCTGCTCCTCGCGCTGGGGCGGCTGAGCCAGCTGCCCGAGCCGCCCCTCGTCTTCTTCTACGCGACCTACCCGCCGCCGCGCTTCTTCACCAAGTACCACCGGAACAACATGCGCGAGTGGGCCAAGTTCTGGAGCGACTACGACGCGCCCAAGGTCAAGGCCTACCTGAAGATCCTCCACGGCCACGCGGACAACTACGAGGTCGTCGCGACTCATTACAACGCCACCTTCGCCGCGCTCCAGCGCGCGCTGTGGCCCGACGCGCTCGACACGGCGCGCGCGACGAAGCTCTGGGTCTCGGACACGAGCGAGGGCGACTGGGACCACCACCCGGGCCGCGACGCGCACCGCGTCGTCGCCGACTCCATCTTCAACGCCTTCCAGCGCCTCGCGGACGACGCCGACGGCGCGCCGCGGCCGACGCTGCGGCCGAACGCGACGCTCGCGGCGTCGCGCGAGGTCCTCGACGCCGTCGGCTTCTGCCAGCACATGACGGCGACGATCTCCGCGGACGTCGAGTGCGCCAAGCCCGGCTACGCGCCCCTGGGCTGGGACTGCTACAGGGACGTGCCGACGAAGCCCCGGGGCTGGATCTGGGACGGCGGCGCGCGGCGGCGCAACGGCACGGCGCGGCGGCGCCTCGCGCCGAAGCGGCGCGCGCCGCCGAAGCGGCCCGCGAAGCGCGCGCCGCCGAAGAAGCGGCCGCCGCCGCGCGCGCCCGCGGCCGCGGCGGCCCGCCGGGACGACGAGCTCTCGTTCGTCGTCCCCTGCGGCCGCGACCGCCGCGTCGGCGTCGAGTTCCTCAAGTCCTACGACCGCATGGGCGCCGTCGAGCTCACCATCGCGAGCCACGACGGCATGCACAGCTCGAAGAAGAGCGGCGTCCTCTACCGGAGCGACGCGCAGCGCGAGAAGATCATCCGCGCGGCGCCGACGAAGACGCGGTCCTACGCGATCAACGCGTCCTGGCCCCAGCGGGAGTCCCTCGCGCACGTGGAGATGTTCGCCTACGACGCCTGCTTCAACAAGGGCGACTTCGAGTCGCCCCTCGTCATCACCCTGCGGCCCCTCGACCCGGCCAAGAAGTTCAAGCTCCTGTCGCTCTGGACGTGCTAAGGTCCCTCCGTCGCGTCGACGACGCAGGTCGCGCCCGCCTCCTTGTGGCGGTCGCGGATGAGCGCGACGGTGCCGCGGCCGGGGTTCCGGAAGTACTTGCGGTCCAGGGGCAGGGGCCTGCACGCGACCTCGTGGCTGACGACGTGGTAGGAGAAGGCCCACTCCGCGTAGAAGCCGGACTGGATGCCGCCGATGTCCCAGGGCTGCTTCGCGTCCTTCCGCGGCACCTTGCACCCGAGGCCGCCGTCCGTGTTCGGCGGGCTCGCGAGCCGCGCGAGGCGCGAACGGAAGTCGCCCATGACCCGGCTCTCCTCCGCGGGCGCGTGCTTGAGCGAGTAGACGTCGAGCGCGACGTTGAGGAAGTCGTCCCAGAGCGCGACCATCGTCGCCGGCGTGCTGTAGAAGACCTTGTCGGAGAAGCAGTGGAGCGCCTTCGCCTCGCCGGCGAAGTCCGCGTAGCGGAACTCCGGCGGCATCAAGACGTCCGTCCGCGACCTGACGAGCGTGCCGTACGCGGAGAAGTCGAAGGCCGCGAAGGCGAGCTTGAGCTGGAACCACTGCCAGAGCGTCCGCTCGTGTCTGCCGTGGGCGTCCAGGAAGGCCGCGAAGGCCGCGCGCTCGTCCTCGGAGACGAGTCGCACGCGGCCCGCGAGCCGCGCCGCGGTCCGCGCGCACTCGCCGTAGGTGACCGCGAAGACGTCGGCGCCGGCGCTGTCGGCGACGTGCTTCTCGAGCTGGGCCAGCGTGTCCGTCTTCAGGAAGCCCGTGAAGAGCACGGCCACGGTCGCGCCTCCCGTCGGCGCGGCGCGCTCGCGGCGCGAGCCGTTGATCGCGAAGGGGCGGAACTCCCGCCGGTGCAGGCGCGCGACGCGCGGCACGAGGTTGTCCACGTACGCGTCCGGCCCATCGCGCCGGGCCAGGGGCGGCGCCTCGGCCGCCTCGAGCGTCGCGTTCGACGGCGGCGCCGGCGGCGGCCGGCGCGCGCGCCGCTTCGGCCGCGGCGGCGCTTTGCGCACCGGCCGTTTCCGCTGCGGCCGTCCGCGAGGCGCGGTGCGCACGGACGCCAGCAGGAAGGCGACCACGACGAGCCGCATCCCTAGATCACCATCGTCGCGCCATGGGTGCACCCTTATCCTTGAGGGGTGATTGAGGATCTATTGTCCCCGGGATCGAGGCAGTAGGAGCTCTCGCGTAGGCGCCCGCGTCACCGCCGCCCTCCGGGCTCATCGCCTAGGCGCGGCGGGGACGCCGGGCATGCGTCGCGGGGCCCGAGGGCTGCCCCCATTTGTCTGTGTAATTGTCGAGCAAGGGCCTTGCTTGACGATTGGCATCATATTACACAAAATAAAGATATGATATTTCCTCTATACCGACTTTACCGGATCAAAGATGACTTAGAAGCCGACGACGTAAGCATGTTGAAGTATCTTGAAGCCTGTATTGCGCCATCGGTGCACCTTTATAATTCAACCCTGACGAAGTTCGTTAAAGCTGTTGCGGCAAAATCGATTCCCTCGCCTGATCTTTGGTCCGATGTCACCGATCGGTGACTTAGCAACGCGTTCCAAACCAGTCGTTTAGTGGGCCGACTTTGCCGCCACAGCTTGATTGAGGATAATCCTCAGGGGGATAATATCCCTTGAGGGGTGGTAATTACGATGGTAGCGGGTTTGGTGCACCGCATTGGATAAGGTATGGGCAGCCGCGCGCGTAAAGGCCCGTCGCGCTTGCGCCTGCTGGTGTCGCTCGTCGCGTTCGCACCGTCGCGCGCGAGCAAAATGAGCGAAGACGCGCAGCACGCGAGCACGGCTTCGCCACGCGGCGAAATTCACGACTGCTGGGCGCTCTACGAGCAGCAGTCCAGCGGCGCGGGCACCTACGGCACGGCGGCGGCGGCCGCCGCCGCGCGGCCTTGCTGCGACCGCACGAGCCCCGACGCGGTGAAGACGCAGGACGAGGTGCGGCGGCGGCCGCTGCGGTTCCCGCGGTCCTACGTCGAGCTCGCGTTCCAGCTCGTCAACGAGTCGACGCGGGACCTCGACTTCAACTTCGTCGGGCGCATCGACGCCAAGCCCGTGGCGGCCTTCCGCAAGTTCGTGCCCGGCTTCGCGAAGACGCACTTCACGGAGGCGAGCTACTACGCGGAGTCGAGGCCCGCGGCCGCGGAGGGCTACGCGCCGATGGGCCCCTGGGACCGCACGGCGGACAAGAAATTGAGCGAGCGCATGATCCCGGCGCAGCACAACCCGGGCCACGACGCCGACGACTGCCTCGTCGCCGCATACGACGTGGACTACCTGCGGATCCTCGCGCGGTCGAAATTCACGCTCGCGCCGCGGGGCGACCAGCCGTGGAGCATCCGCTTCTTCGAGGCTATCTTATGTGGCTCCATCCCCATCGTCAGGGGCGGCCGCGGCCGCAACTACGCCGAGCGTCACCTCGACTACAAGTTCTACGACGTCGCGAGCGGCGTCCCGCGGGCGCGGCGACGTCTCGAGAGCTTCTTCGGACCGCGGCGGAACCCCGCAGGTCACGCGCGACGACGCCTTTGCGTACCGCGAGGACTGGGCGTCGCACAACATCGCCGTCTTCCTCGAGCAGCAGACGCTCCTCGGCGGCGGCGTCCCGCCATTTTCGAAGCCCGCGGTCGAGGAGTGGCGCCGCCACGTCTGGGACCCGAACGGCGCCGCAAAGACGCCGGAGCCGGGCGCCGCGGGGATCCTCGTCGACGCGTCGACGTCCGCCGCGTCGCCCGAGGCCGCCGCCGCCGCCGCGGCCGCGACCGTCGCCGCGACGGCCGACGCCGCGTGGCCCGTCTTCGTCGCCGTCGTCGAGGACGCGGCCGCCGCGACGCGCGCGGCGCTCGACGCGCGCGGCTGCGGCGCCGCGGCCGTCGTCGCCGCGCCCAAGGCCGCGCGGGGCTGGGCGCGCGGGCTCGCGGCCGCGGTCGACGGCGCCGCGGCCGCCGGCGCGCCGCTCCCGGCGGCGCTGCTCCTCGTGCCCTTCGAGCGCGCCTTCGGCGCGCCCGTCGCGAGGCTGCACCTCGAGGCGGCCTACGGCGTCCTCGCCGCGGGGGCCCTCGACGCCGTCGACCTCCGGGCGGGGATCTGCGCCGCGGGCGCGGCGCCCCGGCCGAGCAAGGACCCCTGGCGGACGCTGAACTGGCCGACGGTCGCCGAGGTCGGCGCCGCGGGCATGCACTTCAAGGCGCCCCGGGGCGCGGCCAAGTTCGGGAGCACGCCGCGCGCGCTCGCCCTCTGGGACACCGCGGCGCTCGGTGCGGCGCTCCGCGGGGGACGCGACGCCGTCGCGGCGAAGTGGAGCCACGCGTGGCACAAGCCCCTGGGGCCCAAGGTCGCCTGCGCGCACTACCTCTTCCCCGGGCGGCACCCGCTCGCGGCCGCGCGAAGCGGCGCGGCCGACGCCGCGCGCTGCCCGGCCGCGCCGCGCGCGCCGGCGCCGG